AGGATTTGGCAAATATGAAAAGGTACAAATAGGGTGAAGAGAATAGTGGGTAACAGTGGGAAAGCCCAGTGTCTGCTCTGGGCAGGGCAAAACTTGGGGGCAACAGATAAGGTTGGAGAAGCAAGCTGAAGGCAGATTATTAAGTGCTGTCTACACTAAGGAGTAAGATCTTGGAAAGAAATGGGATATGTATCAATCAAGGTTCTCATGAGAAACAGAACCAATAGGATATATAGGGACAGATATAAAAAAAAAATTATTACGGAAATTGGCTCATGCAACTACGGAGGCTGAGAAGTCCCAAGATCTGCCATCTGTAAACTAGAGAACCAGGAAAGCTGGCATTGTAATTCAGTCCAAGTTCAAAGGCCCGAGAACCAAGAAGCACTGATGGCCAATGTCAGGAGAAGACAGGTGTCTCAACACAAGCAGAGACAGTGAATTTGCCCTCCTCTGCCTTGTCGTTCTATTCAAGTTCTCATCAGATTGAATGACGCCCACCAGCATCGGTGAAGGTGATTCTCAACTCAGTCCACCAATTCAAATGCTAATCTCTTCCAGAGATGCTCTCACAGAAACACCCAGAAATCATGTTTCACCAGCTATCTGGGCACCTCTTTCTAGTCAAGTTGACACACAAAGTTGACCATCACAGAGCCCTGTTTTAGGAAAATTCAGACGGGCACTGTGTGCTAGGTAGACTGGGTGAAGACAAAGTGAAGTGGAATATTCCTGAAGTGACTAGAAGGGAAAGGAGAGTCATAACTAGAGCAGAGGCAGTGGGGCTGGTGCAGAATGAAAGAGTTGGAGAGGTGTTGGAATTTTCACCAAAAAAAAAATCCTTATTTCTGGTTGATCTTCTAAAAACCAGAAGATTTGAATTCTTTATATGATATCGAATAACTATACGAACTTCATAGTTATATTTCTCCAAAAATTCCATTTGCTATTTGAGTGAACATATATACACCCCATCTCTACTGTGGGTTAATACTAATACTGTGAGCTAAGTAATTTCAAAAGACTGCTCCTCAACTTTCTTATTTATACTAATTGATATAAAAATATGAAATCTCCAGATGGCTTAAGCTTGGAAATAGGCAGATATTTGGAATTACCGGTTTTCCTAATGACCTCATCACATGCAGTACTGAAGCTCTCTGACTTTCTAAGCAATATGCTACCACCAAAAGTTCACTAGCACCTCTGGGCTTGTGAACAACAGGACCCAGCTGCCAGGAAACAATAACGTAGTGCATCAGTTGTCTCTGTGCAAACAAGAACAAAACAGTGAATACATGAGTTTGGTGAAGGAGGTGTGGTGAGAGAAGAGAGAATTCACAGCCACCTGGAATTATAGTCACTGAGATATAGAACCCATTCTGTAACTATAGGCTGTCTGTATACTGTCAGAGAGTCTTCCCAGAGGTCTGAAGGCTGCAAACAAGAAAGACTACTGCGATGACCCAAGGAGTCTAGACTTGATTGGTCATATTGGCCAGGACATAATTATGCACCAGGTCAGTGCCTTTCCATGCTGAATTGAGTGTTTGCCGTGTTTTGGCACTTTGCAGTAAGCTTCGGTGACTCTTCGAAGCTTCTTCCAAAGCGGCTGTGCTTTTCCCTGGGGTAAACTCTTCATTAGAGAGCTTCCACTCAGGTTTGCGCTTAGGGAGCAGCTTTTTCGTGGTCTTGAGACTCTTACTAAGATCCTCCTTGTAGCAGAGAGCAGCCGAGGATCGGAGGGGAGGTGAGAGTTGTAGACAGCTCAGGCTTCACGGTGTGGGGGTCTTCGGAGGCTCCAGGAGCCCTCAGTTGATGGTGATGTGTGGAGTGCTGAGGTGGAAGAGGTGGAACAACATGTGATAGGTGGGTGTCAGGGGCACTGGCTTGCTGTCTGCATGCTTGCTGGATGGGGTGATCCAATGCGAGGGGAGGATATGAGACCACACAGAATGAGATTTAATGGCAGGGGGAGGAAGGTTGCTGACAGATATGGCTTTTGTTTGCTTCTATAGATGGTCAACCCATTCCTGAAGATCCTGCTGGTTGTTGCATGACACTAATATCCACTCAATCATGCTCCCTGATATTTCAAATGCATTTCTATGGTTTTCACTGTCCTCAAGCTTTGCGATTGTCATTCCTTGGTAGCTTTGCCTGATAGAAAAAACCACTCGTCTTAGGCCTGGCACACAACATTGGCAAAATATTCAGGAAGAGTAGAAAATATCTTTCATTCTTTTCCTCACTTCTGGCACACTGAATCATGACCTAGGACATGTAAATGATGTTGCCCAGGATCTTAATGTCATCTCTCTCACAGCTCCAGATGGCTTCCATCAGAATCTGCAACTCCAACTCTTTCTTTTTCCATACGTCTTGACACTGGGCTGAAAAGTTTTTGAAGGCAATCATGGATTTCCGAATATCTGGTCTATCTGGATGATAATCCTCCGTGTGTGTCTCGAGCTCCTTGAGCAGCGTGGGGTACTTTTCCAGTTGTATGAATGGTACACTGAGGCTGGTAGTCAACGCAAGAATCCCCGGGCTGTTGGCACCTTTCATTTCCATGAATTCTCCCAACTCCTCACTGTACTCCGTGAGAACAGTCATTGTAGATTGGTGAGTAGTCACCTTTAGTTTGCTTTGAAACTATAATAATTGGTGCATTGACTTAGATACCTTTGCCATGCCTTAGCAAATTTGGGTTGCCTATGTCATGTGCTATATATACCACAACATTGAGTTCAGTTGCTGCACTTGGATTTTTCTCTAACACCAAGTATCATTGGGTTGTCTTAATGAGATATTTTCATTTTCTATATACCAAAGTTTCGACACTTTCTCATCATTCCTTTTTGTACCAGTGAAAGCCATTCTGACGATGATTTTTGCTGATGCTAAGATCACTGCAGAATAACAACCTGGCTTTTATGTTTGTTTGGATTTGTTTTGAATGTCTGGTACCATTAGCTCTTGTGACCTGGTTGGAAGCAGTAGGGTCATAGGCCTGAAAACAGTTCTTGTGTAGCATTGGTGATATGGTAT